GCAGGGGGAATGGGAGATGGGGAAGCAGGCTTCCAGCAGAGCAAGGAGCCCAATGCGGGCCTCAATCCCAGGACCCTGGGATCATGACCTGAGCCAAAGGCAGACACTTAATGACTGAGCCACCCAGGTACCCCAGGAATCTTGCTTTTCAAAGTAGGGTGTTAAGTGGACATTTCAAGAAAAAAATTTCAGTTGCTTGGAAAATATTCGCAAACCAACATTTCAGTGCTATTTTTACTATTTCTTAGATTTCTGCTCCTAATGAATTTGATATAATGTTCAAACTGGAGGTCCCCAGAATTCAGCCAGAAGAATATTGCAACAGTGGTGCTTATTACTTTGTGAAGTTCAAAAGAAATCCCAAAGGAAATCCTCTGAGTCAGTTTTTAGAAGACGAAATATTATCAGCTTCTAAGATGCTGTTCAAGTTTAGGAAGATCATTAAGGAAGAAATTAAAAACATTCAAGGTAAGAGTTTTGACTGTTGATTCTTAAAGTTCTAATCATCCCTATTAATTGCCAATGTACACTCCTCTCCTGATCTTTTTCTTTCCACATCAGACAGGTAAAGTGCCGAGGTCCTAACAGGGTTGAGGGAGGCGTATGTCACACAACAACGTGAATACCCGATCCTCACACTTATGAACTACAAAAGGATCCTCTTCTGATCTTTCTTGACCTCTCTGCAGCAGACTGTTGATCGCTACGTCCTAGAAACAACTCTTCACTCCTGATTTTAGTTTACTGGAATTTCTTGGCATTCTTCCTAAATGTTGATTAGTTCTATTTTGGCCTCCATTGAATATTCACTGGACAGCTGCCTTATGCCACTGGGTACAGGTGGTTGCATAAAATCACTGGGATCGCCTCTTGAAGCTTGTAAACACAAATTGCACTGCGTGCTCTGAAGGGAATGAACTGGGAGAAGTAGTAGCAATTGGGGTGGAGTAAGACCCCAAGGCGGAAAAGAGCTTGGCAAGCTCAAGGAACAAAAAGAGGCCTGTGTGGACAAGGGGAAGAGTGACATGAAATGAAGTTGAAGAGGTGGCCAGGGGCCAGACTGTGCAAGGACTTGTAGATCCTGGAAATGAATTCAGATTGATTTCATGTTCATTCATGTTTTAATTAAGGACTAATGGTTGGCTTTGTATTTTTAGAAGTTTACTCTGGCTTCTCTGGAGAATATATTCTAAAAAGACAAATAAGAGAAAGGAAAGAAAAAGGAAAATATTGAAGTAATTCAGGTGAAAGATAGTGGTGGCTTACATGGAGGTGGGGATGGAGAGAAGCAGACATATCCAAGCTTGTAGCAGTGCTTACTTCTGGATTAACTGTAGGGGTGGAGAGAAAGGACTGAATTAAAGAAGGCCTCCAGTCTGCTAACTGAGCACCTCTGTGGATTGATTGTACCATTTTCTAAGATGGGAAAGACTGAAGAGGAATGTATTTTAAGGTATGAATTAGAGGAGTTTGGCTTTGGATATTTTAAGTTAGAGATTCCTGTGATACACTGAAGTGAGTATGTCAAGTCTGTTATTGGATATGGATTTGAAGTTCAGAGGATATGTTTGGGCTGTATGTAAACATATAAATGGCATTGATAATGGATGAGACCACGTAGGCAGAGGGTTGATTCATTTATTCATGAATCAGTACCCATCGATCATCTAATGTGCCAGATGTTCTAGGTGTTTGGGATACAGTAATGAATAAAGAGATGAGGACCTTCACCCTTCTGTACCTTATAGTTATATAAGGGCAGACATACAATTAATAACAAATGGAAACCATAATTATCTTATATACTAGAAAGTAGTAAGTTTTATGATGAAAAAGTATAGCAAAGTGAGAGGGATCAAGAGTGTTGGGGATAGGATGGGGGAGGGGGAGTTGTAGTGTTAAGTAGAGTGGTAAGAAGAGGATCCCATTAGGGGTTGGGAAGAAGAGAAGGAGCATAAGGAGACTAAGTGTTTTTCAGAATGAGCGGTCAGTGTATAGAGTGCTACTGATGTCCAGAAACTACTGGATTTGGTCTACAGTTTTGTGGGGTTTTTTGGTAACTTTGACTTAGCAGTTCCAGTGGGGTCCTGAGCACACAAGAGACAAAGGGCAGGGAAGCAGTAAAGACAGCATGTGTAGGCATATCTTTACAAAGTCTCCGCTGTAAAGGACACAGAAAGATGGGTCAGTGTGGGGAAGAGGCAGGGTGGGGTCAAGAGAGAGGTATATTTTAGAATGAGAAATACTGGAACCCTTTGTATACAGATAGGAATGATCCAGTAGGGAGGGGGCAGCCACTGATGATGAGAGAGGGAACAATTGAAGAAACAAGCTGCTTAAGAAGGTGAGAAGGAAGGAATCCAGACACCATGTGCAGGGGTGGCCTTTGAAAGGTAGATGGACACTTCTTTTTTTTTTTTTTTCCCTAAAGATTTTATTTATTTGACAGAGAGAGACACAGTGAGAGAGGGAACACAAGCAGGGGGAGTGGGAGAGGGAGAAGCAGGCTTCCCACCGAGCAGGGAGCCCGATATGGGGCTCAATCCCAGGACCCCGGGATCATGACCGGAGCTGAAGGCAGACGCCTAACGACTGAGCCACCCAGGCACCCCTAGATGGACACTTCTTACTAGGAATAGGAGGGTAGAAGGATATCATGGGTAAGAAGTGGGTTTTGCCAATTTAGTAATAAGAAAATGAGGGCGTTCTCTAGGATTTTCTCCTTTGTCCCCTATCTTCTCTCTCACTGTGGTCCCTTCCAGAAGTCTTATCTGGGAGCGGTCTTTAGCTACTGCTTGTACACCTCCCAATACCAAAGCCAGTATCTCTCCTCTATACTCCTTTCCCAAATTTCTGGCCACCACAGCCACCTATCCTATGGCCATCTTCACTTGGGTATCTTCCACACACCTAGAGCTCAGTATGTCTAAAATGAAGTGCATCTCAGCCCAATCTTTCTTCCTTCTGATTATTCCATATTGAAGAATCAAATCAACATCAACCATTTCCCAGGTCAAAATCCTGGGATGGCATTTCAGACTTTTACCTTCTTTCTTACCTTACAGATTCAGTCCATCTACCAGTTTTGTTGATTTGGACCTCTTTAATTGTTCTCATTTCTGCTACTTGTGTCTTTTAAAAAAAAATAAAAACTGTACAGTTGTTCCTTGAACAACAGGGTAGTTAGGGGCACCAACCTCCCCACATAGTTGAAAATCTGTGTATAACTTAACAAAACTTAACCATTAAGAGCCTCCTGTTGACTGGAAGCCCCACGGATAACATAAACAGTTGATTAACACAAATTTTGTATGTTCTATGTATTATATACTATATTCTTAAAATAAAGTAAACTAGAGAAAAAATGTTAAAATCTAAGGAGTGACTACATCAAAATAAAAAGTTTCTGCACAGGGCGCCTGGGTGGCTCAGTTGGTTAAGCAACTGCCTTCGGCTCAGGTCATGATCCTGGAGTCCCTGGATCGAGTCCCGCATCGGGCTCCCTGCTCGGCGGGGAGTCTGCTTCTCCCTCTGGCCCTCCCCCCTCTCATGTGCTCTCTCTCATTCTCTCTCAAATAAATAAATAAAATCTTTAAAAAAAAAAAAGTTTCTGCACAGCAAAGGAAACAATCAACAGAACTAAAAGACAATCTACTGAATGGGAGAAGAGATTTGCAAATGACATATCCAATAAAGGTTAGTATCCAAGATCTATAAAGAACTTATTAAACTCAACACCAGAAAAGACAAATAATTCAATTAAAAAATGGGCAGAAGACATGAACAATATTTCTCCAAAGAAGACATGCAGATGGCCAAGAGATACATGAAAAGATGTTTATCATGACAACATCAGAGAAATGCAAATCAAAACTACAGTAAGAGATCCCTCACACCTGTCAAAATGGCTGAAATCAAAAACACAAGAAACAACAAGTGTTGGCAAGGATGTGGAGAAAAAGGAACCCTTGTGCACTGTTGGTGGGAATACAAACTGGTATGGCCACTCTGGAAAACAATATGGAGGTTCCTCAAAAAGTTAGAAATAGAACTACCTTATAATTCAGCAATCGCACTACCGGGTATTTACCCAAAGAATACAAGAACACTAATTCAAAGGGATGCATGCACCCCTATGTTTATAGAGGTATTATATACAGTAGCCAAGATATGGAAGCAGCCCAAGTGTCTAATGACTGATGAATGGATAAAGATGTGGTGCATGTATATATATGTGTATATATATATATATAATGTATATTATTATAAGTGTATATATATTTATTTATATATACAATGGGATATTATTTAGCCATAAAAAAGAATGAAATCTTGCCATTTGCAATCACATGGATTGAGCTAGAGAGTATAATGCTAAGGGAAATAAGTCCGTCAGAGAAAGACAAATATCATATGATCACACTCATGTGTGGAATTTAAGGAACAAAATAAGGAGCAAAGGGACAAAAAGAAACAGACTCTTAGCTACAGAGAACAAACTGATGGTTACCAGAAGAGAGGTGGGGGGAGGGATGGATTAAACAGGTGTTGGGGATTAAGGAATGCACTTGTCATGATGAGCACAGGGTGTTGTATGGAAGTGTTGAATAACTATATTGTACACCTGAAACTAACATTACACTGCATGTTAACTAACTGGAATTTAAAAACTTAGAAAATCATAAGGAAGAGAAAATATGTTTACAGGACTGTACTATATTTACCAGAAAAATCTGCATTTAAGTGGACCTGCACATTTCAAACCCATCTTGTTCCAGGGTCAGCTGTATTTAAGGTGTACAACATGCTGTTCTGATATACATATACGTAGTGAAGTGATTACCACAGTAAGCAGATTAACATACCTTCTCACATAGTTGCCTTTTGTGTGTGTGGTGAGAGTACCAAAAATCTACTCTCTGAGCTCACTTCCAGTGTTCAGTGTAGTAGTATTAATGACAGTCATCATGCTATACATTAGATTTCTATACTTACTCATCCTACATAACTGTAACTCTGTGCCCTTTGACTAACATCCCCCCATTTCCCTCACCTCCCCACCCCCGGTAACTACCATCCTACCCTCTGCTCCTATGTATTCTGCTTTTTTAGATTCCACATAAAAGTGAGGTCATGCAGTATTTGCCTTTCTGCATCTAGCTTATTTCACTTAGTATAATGTCCTCCAGATCCATCCATGTTGTCACAGATGGCAGGATATTCTGAGTTAAGGCTGAATGGTATTCCATTGTGTATGGTTACCATAGTTTCTGTATCCATTCATCCATGCATTGACACATAGGTTGTTGCATGTCTTGGCTGTTGTGAATAATGCCGCAGGGAACATGGATTGCTCCCTCTGTCTTCATGCCCCCTGCCTCTGTGGTGCCGCTCGCACACACCCTTCTGGGTTGGACTGTTGCTGTGGTCTTCTCGATTGCCTGCCTCCTCCCTGCCACTCATCTGCTCTTTTCCCCAGGCTTCCCTCCATACATTTAAGTGAAAATTTAATCACAATGCTCCCAAAGCTCAAAGTCTTCAGGGGCTCCTCATCATTTATACCAGACAGAATTTTGACAATGCTTCCCTATGGTAGGTATTGATAAATATTGGTTAAGTGGGGAAAAACACTTTGCTTTTGGGGTCAGTTTCTACTTTAGAACTCACTTCACCTTACACTTAGCACTTTATATATCTCCAATGACGGATGTATTATTTTCGCGGAAAATTGGATTGATAAATGCTGTCTTCCCTTTTTATGCGTTTAAACAGATACAGATGTCATTATGCAGAGGAAGAAGAGGGGGAGCCCTGCTGTAACACTTCTTATTAGAAAACCTAGAGAAATATCTGTGGATATAATCCTGGCTTTGGAGTCAAAAAGCAGCTGGCCTGCTAGCACCCAGGAAGGACTGCCCATCAGTCAGTGGCTTGGGACAAAAGTTAAAACCAATTTAAGACGACAGCCATTTTACCTGGTACCCAAGCATGCAAAGGAAGGAAATGGTTTTCAAGGTATCTTGAATGGGAAGGTTAACTTAAAGACATAAAAGAATGGTCTGCCCTTTTTTTTTTCTTTTTTCTTTTTAAAGTAAGTTCTATGGGGGCACCTGGGTGGCTCGGTCAGTTGAGTGTCTGCCTTCAGCTCGGGTCATGATCCCAGGGTCCTGGGATTAAGCCCCACATTGGGCTCCCCGCTCAGTGGAAAGTCTGCTTGTCCTTCTGCCCTTCCCCCTGCTCGTGCTCTTTCTCTCTTTCTCTCTCAAATAACTAATAAAATCTTAAAAAAAATAAAAAGTAAGCTCTATGCCCAACATGGGGCTTGAACTCACTACCCCAAGATCTAGAGTCACAGGCTCTAACCACTGAGCCAGCCAAGCACCCCAAGGGTTGTTAATATTATATACTAAAACAGTAGCTAGTGCTATTGGCTTATCAAGAGCCATGAGGCTAAATAGACTATAAGATGGGAGTTTGGTGAGGAATGGAATTGAAAAAGGCATAGTTGTAGTAGTAGTATCAAATACTCAGATTTCAAATGTCTGCTAACCCCCATTTGAATGTTATTTTTTGCTTGTTTGTTTTCAGTAGAGAAGGGCAGTACTGGCCATGGAGTCAGACTACCCTGGATCTGAATCCTGAGGCTTCTTCTTCTACTAGATGTGTGATCTTGGGCTAGTTAATCAAGCCTCTCTAAACCTGTTTGCTCATCTCTATACTGGTTTAATCAAAGCTACTTGAAAGTTTCTGGGGGTGGCTCAGTTGGTTAAGTGGCTGACTCCTGGTTTCAGCTCAGGTCATGATCTCAGGGTCCTGGGATCCAGCTCCGAGCTCAGTGGGGAGTCTGCTTGAGGAGTCTCTCTTTCCCTCTCCCTCTGTCCCTCCCTCGCGCTCTCGCTTTCTTTCTCTCTCAAATGAATAAATTTAAAAAAAAAACAAAGAAAAGAGAAAAAGTTTCTGGGAAGATAAAAATGAGACGGTGTGTGTAGAATCTCCAGTTTAGTACAGGCAGTTATAATTAATGTTATCATCAGAGCCTAGATTCTCATTCCCAGCCATACTCCTTTCTTTCCTTCTTCCCCTTCCTCTGTGCCCCATGCAGCTAGCAGACCTTTGCAGCTTCAGCTGCAGTTGGTCTTCTCACCTGTGTACTCTGCCTGACTGCTGAGGACAGGTTTTCAAGTGGTGCTCTTGGGTAACATTCAAGTTCTGAGTTAGTCTACAGATACAACAGCTAAAATCAGTTTAGCTGATTATTTTATTTTTCTCTCATAAATTAAGGACTTTTGGTACCTACTACAGCTCGATTCCAGGGATATTGGAGGACACCATGAAACGTAGGAACCAAGTTACAAATTAGTATTGCTGAACAAATCCTGGAATTAGTCAATCATGCTTAGTTTGATGGCTTGTGTTTTGTAGACACATCATAACTTTTTATATTGCACATATATAGGAGCCATTTTCTGTTAAGAGAGAATTACAAATATCATTATTCATAATTTTAGAAAAGGAACATAGCTTTCTGCAAAGGGGTTGCCACCACTGAATAATTTCTAGAATGGCTATCCCAAGAAACCCTCACTGTATGTAATGCAGAAATCTTAACAGGACCCATACCACCAGCTTGTTAGTCTACCACCGACTGCCCTGGGCAAGACTGGGAGATAAATCAGATTAGGGATGAGAGAGTCCTTCAGAGGCCCTGTGGCCATACAGAGGCCAGTGTGATTGGGTAGTTCTTCACGTCCTTGCATTAAGATGAAAGTGGAGGCTGGTGATGGGTGCTCAGCCTGTATTTGCTCTCTGTTACCTTTGGCTGTTCTCCTATCATTCTAGGTTATCTGTATTCAGGCAAGCCCCCCCCCCATCTCTATCCAAATGACTGAACAGAGGGGCATATTAGCAGTGAAAGTACTTATACTACATTGCAGGCATGTATAACACCTATTTTAGTTTTTCTCTTTCCAAACATTTTACTATAAATTTTCTGGTCTCACAAGCTATATTTTTAAAAATAGAAATCATTTGATTAATTAAAAATTTTAAAAATATTTCTACATATTTCAAAATAATACCAGCATCATTATCAAGAGTATAATTTAAAAAAAACGGTTTAAGATTTATCTGTAGTTCTTTTGTTCTGAAGATAAAAAGTCAAAATATCAAGCTTAAATCCACTTGAAAAAATTTCTCCAGGTGGTTAAGCTACCCAACTCAAAATAGTTAGGTTTGTTTGTTTCATTATGGTTTTTCTTAAATAAAATTTTATTTATTTATTTGAGAGAGAGAGAGAGCAAGATCAGGGGAGCAGAGGGAGAGGGAGAAGCAGGCTTCCCGCTGAGCAGGGAGTCTGATGCGGAGCTTGATCCCAGGACCCTGGGATCATGACCTGAGCCGAAGGCAGACGCTTAACCCACTGAGCCACCCAGGCGCCCCTCATTATGGTTTTAAATTTTAGATGTTGAATTTTCAATTTTGATTTAATTTTGTCTCATAAATTTATGAGGCATTCACATGGTTCCAATGTCCAAGCTACAGAAAAAGGTATTCTTGGAGAAGCACAGCTGTCATTCATGCTCACTCTTCATTCTTCTCTCCTTCCCTGGTTGGAAACGCTCTTGTTTTTGATTTACCTTTCGTATAAGTAAATACATATATGCGTATATTTTAAGATAAAAAGTACACCTTCCTTTTATCACTTAGTAAGATATCTTGAATATAAAGCTGTGGCTCTGAATGGAGGTAGCACCCATTCCTTTTTTCAGTCTGTCTTCACAGCCAGTCGAGGAGTAAATCCATACGTAATTTTGCTAGACATTGCCAGAATCGCCTCCACAGGGATCACACAATTTGCATTCCCACACCAATGTACGAGAGGACCGATTGCACCCTCAGTCTTAGCAACAACCCTCGTTAAACTTTGAAATTTTTGCCAATAATACAAAAAGTGAGAAATGATAATATAGTTTTTTAAAATAAACTTTTAGGGGCGCCTGGGTGGCTCAGTCGTTAAGCGTCTGCCTTCGGCTCAGGTCATGATCCCGGAGTCCTGGGATCGAGCCCCGCATCGGGCTCCCTGCTCGGCGGGAAGCCTGCTTCTCCCTCTCCCACTCCCCCTGCTTGTGTTCCCTCTCTCGCTGTCTCTCTCTCTCTCTGTAAAATGAACAAATAAACTTTTAAAAAAAAAATAAACTTTTAACTTTAAAATAGTTATAGATTTGCAGAAAAATTGAAAAGATCGTACGGAGTTCCCATATACCCCATACTTATTTCCTTACTATTAACACGTTACATTAATATGCTACGTTGTCACAATTAATGAACAAATACTGATAATAGTATTATTAACTAAAGTCCATACTTTACTCAGATTTCCTTAGTTTTTACCTAATGTCCCTTTTCCCATCCCAGGATCTTATCCAGGATGCCACATTACATTTAGTCATTGCATCTCCTCAGGCTCCTCTTCACTGTAACAGTTTCTCAGTGTGTCCTTATTTTTGATGCCCTTGATGGTTTGGAGGAGTACCAGTCAGGTCTTTTGTAGAATGTCCCTCATGTGATATGGGTCTGATGTTTTTCTTATAATTAAAGTGGAGTTCTGGGTTTTGGGGCGGAGGACCACAGTGGTAATGCCATTCTCATCATATCCTATCAAGGGGACATGCCATGAGCATGACTCAGCACTGCTGTCGTTGACCTTGGTCATCTGGCTGAGGTAGCATTTGTCAGGTTTCTCCACTGTTAATCCTTCTACTCTTTTTCAGACTGTTCTATTTGGAAGGAAGTCACTGTGCACAGTTCACACTTAAGGATTGGGGAATTATGCTCCATCTTTTTAGAGCAGAATATTTACATAAATTATTTGGAATTCTTCTGCATGGGAGATTGTCTCTTCTCCCCCATTTATTTATTTACTCAATCAGTCATATCAGTAAGGACTCATGGATATTTATTTTTTACGTTGAGCTGTAACCCAGTACTGCTTTATATTCTTGCTTAAATTGTTCTACATTTTTTTTTTTAAGATTTTATTTATTTACTTGAGAGAGAAAGAGAGAGAGAGGGAGAAGCAGACTCCCCGCTAAGCAGAGAGCCTGATGTGGAGCTTCATCCCTGGACCCCAAGGTCATGACCTGAGCTGAAGGCAGCCACTTAACCACCAGAGCCACCCAGACACCCCTAAATTGTTCTAGCTTTTGCCTTTGAGAGTTCTTTCAGTTGGCTCCTGTATCCCTTGACATACACCCCATAGTTGGGGGTGGAGGTTGATTTTGTTTTCAGCACTAACTTACTTTCTGGCACTACAAGATGCTCCAGACTCATCTTGTGTATTTCCAGCTTCAGTCTTAGAATCAGCCATTTATCCAAGAAGCCCTGGATCCTTTTATTGGGAAATGTACTAGAAACCAAGATCTGGGTGTTATGTCTGCTCTGCTACTAAGGTGTCCTTGCTCTCAGCTAAAAGAGCGAGGAACTATGTTTACGTATTGTAACCCCAGTGTATGCACATGTCTATAAATATTTCTATGTAATCACCTGGATTTATTTATATATATATTTTTTAAGATTTTTTTTTT